CTTTGAACATCTTAACTGTAAACTGGCCGTCTGATCGCAAGCGGCTCATATTTATACTGAATACCTGTCAGAAACCGTTCGAATTCCTTGATTTTTCAGTTGAAATATTTGAAGGCTTACCATTTTTTCAACAAATGGTACAAGTAACTTTAGTTGACATAAATAAAAGAAAGCAAAAAAATATGCAATAAGCACAAAATGAACAAACCAACAACAAAACTAAATCGAATAAGTAACAAATAGCAAAGAAACAGTCAGGTTTCTCTGAAGGTTAAAATTAATAAACTTAATAGAACAGCGAACTTCCGGACGTTGACATTTAAGAGCTATGCATCCTGTAGATGAATCAGTCGCGCAGTCCTCGTTTACACTCAAAACAGTCATCACATACAACGGATATGGAATCTAAATATGATTCAATCCAAAGCTATCAGCTGACAGCCCAATGTAACTATTACTGATTATGTTGTGGACAGGTTTTAATATCAAAATGATACATGATACGAGCGTTCAAATTTAACGCTGCATATATTTTTGCAAAGCATATAAAGATGATGTTGATAACACAAGCAAAACCACTGAACTATTTGCGATATGAATATGCTTCAAAGGCATCCAGTGCGACTGTGACTTTACAACTGTACCAAGTCATACAACAAAGTTTCGTGGTGTGCATCGAACTTTGGCTAACTCGTTAGATACGGTTTTCAAACACAACATGACACAAAAAGGTCAGTCAGTCTATCGGGCGACAGATAAATACAAATTTTTCTATCCACATCTCCAGCCTTTCTCCAATTAAAGGCTGCTATGCTGTGGTTGGTTTAGATATCCTTCTAGGCAACGGCTGACTCGGTCGAGCCGTAAGGCATAAAGTTGACTGAAGATCTTAACTGCAATCAGCGCATATACCAAGAAGCCACAGCTCGTTCCGACGACTTTTCACCTAGTACAAGCAGCTGGTTTTAAAAAACAAGTACGTACAAACAAATAGGCATGTAAACATTATAGCAAAGAAATATTCGATTAACTTAACGTATATTTAAACAGACCGCTACTAACCTCGCTGGCTTCGACTTCACGCTCAAATTCTTCTTGAATTTGGAAGTACGTAAAGTCCTTTATAATTTCGGCAAACTTATTCAAGCCATTGACAGACGTGAAAACGAATGGAACCGACTGGGAAAGATGAAGAATTTCTGCTAAAATGACGTTGCCTCTGGAAACCAGCTGCAACAACGTTTGACCACATAAGTTGTCGTCCGATAAAAATACGCCAGCTTCTGTCATTAGATTAAGTGGTCAATGTCAAAATCCTAACCTAACAAGTATTTTATCGTGTTCCAGACGTGATTGTACATTTCATTTTTCAAGCAACCTTACAAGAATCGCAAATTAAATACTGTACTACTGATGCGCAAGTAGTTGGGATAAAAAAAAGTGTTTTTGCTGTGCGGAAATCACATGGTCCTTTTGAATAAATTGATTGCAGTATCCGACTGCAACGCCAAAGTTTGCAGTATTTTGTCTGGATCTACAATTCATCTTGTGTTATGTTAGTGACATCCTACTGTTAGCTGAGATAAGACATTTCATACACAATAGGCTTGAAAAGACAATGAAGTATGTGATGGAAGTTTGAGAACTGATTGCTGTTCTCTGTACAGCTGTCTGAAGTAAATGACGCTCTACAAACAGACCAAAAGTGCATTCCGTGATAGCAAAACAACCGTGTCCAAACATCAACGGAAATGCATGCCGCTGGTACAAACTGGATGCCGTTTCAAAATTAATAATAAAACGAATAATTAAACCAACAATTATTAAAACTCAATCTTTACATGTTTTGTTGATCATTTGTTACCTTTCTTTCATTTTAACGTGAATTACAGTGGGCACGCGCAACAAACCGTGAATCTCACAATTTATCGAATGATTGCATCAGAGTCCTATGCACTCAATAATATTTTCTGTCACCCTCTTGCTATTTATTTTTCGCTTGGTTGCATCGAGGTACAGTAAAGCAAATTCTTTGCTCAATAGTATTAAAGATTGATAAAGGAATTTCTCCGTATTGAGATATAAATTCTACTTATATAAAAACAGAGTTGGCCAGCTAGCTATTTATACAATTCGTCAAGGCTACTTAGTAGGTATCTTCTGTGTGTCATAAGGAAACCAAATAATCATTGACATGTCATCATGAGTGACCTGAGGTATCATAGTACTGCGTTTAGGATAAAATACATGCTCTGCAAATGCGTGGAATTAAAAATTCCGTACTTCGAAGGCGTGACCGAAAGCAGTCAAATTACGGAAAGGTTATCAGCAACCACTCAGTCAGCCCTGCGGAACATGAATGTATATGATAGATAGGTGAAATGTCAATCAGGAAAATACTCGCCTCCCACGTTTCAGGGCTTCATAGGTACTGCGGGATGCTGTTTATCTTTGGAGATAAACGGTAAGATGGAAGACTGATCATTGTCGCCGAAAACAGTCTATGGCAGCATTAATCCATCATCTTCATTCTATATGAATTCACTACAGGATGAACGCCCTCTCCAAGACTTGCCATAAACTTTTTTCTGTGATTTTTATTTATCTTAATCCAACAAGTTCTTCAACTCATCTTTCCATTGATCTGGAGTTCATCAGACGGATTGTTCATTCTCTCTTGCACCGCAGTCAATGTCTATCTGACCCAGCAATGATCCGTTGTTCCTGCCACGTGTGCTGACGATTGTCATTTTCACTTCTTCGTTCGTATCATTTCTTGCTATTCCAAACCACTCTTTTAGTTATGATATATGTTGTCTGCAGTTTTCGAATAGTTTTCAGTTTTAAAATCTATGGCTCACATTTATAGGCTAGCACTGGAATCACACATTGAACGAAATCTTTGTTTCAGGCATAGGAGCAGTTTTTTTGCATTGGAATATTTTCAGTACTCCATGCTATTTTCATTCTTCTGTTAACTTTACATGGTCCGTTCTCAAATGCGCAATCCAACTGTTCCAGACATCATTTCATCTGCATCTTTTCAAGACTCAGTCCCATGACTTCAGCAGGTCGCGGGTCAGATAATCGTTAAAGAGAACCTAGCGTTTTTTCAGTCCTGCCTTGATGTTGACATCATTCCACCTTTAGATTCTTTGAAGTTTTCCCGGTGACCTTGAGGATATTGTCAGAAAACCGCATGTGACTTAAATAATGTTCATTAACCTGCAATCTGTGACTTTCCCCAGGGAATGGGATAGAAACATCCTTTAGTATTGTTTCAAATAATAATATATCAATCTTTCAAGCGCTCTGTTCAATTTAAATTTATCCTGTCCTGAAGCTCCACAGTGGCAGTTTCATCCTTGCAAATGACGGCAAATAATTCTCTGAGTTTTACCTCGGTTCCATGAGTCCTCAAGGATTCCAGCATAAAACGGAAGTATACTAAGTGCAAAAACCTTCTCGAAATCGACGAACCTCAAGCAGAGAATAAGTTGACGTTCATTGTTTCTTGGAATTATTTGCTCTGCTACATCGAGATGATACATCGCATTAAATCCATTTCTGAATACTGGTTGCACCGTTGGCTGAGTTTTTGTCATAGTTTGTTTTCCTCGATGTCTGTTCGTCGGTGCCTTCACCAAAATCTTGCATACGATCGGTATCAAACTGATCGCCTATGCTATTCTTCAGATACTCTTTGTCTCCTTTTTTGAAAAGTAGAGCCTCCATTGTGGTAGTTCAATCGTGATAGCAAGTTTGGTAAGTATTATGGAAAGAAGTTTCCTTCTTGTCAGTGTTTCACTTCCTGATTCTATGATTTTATTGTAATTCTGTCTTCTCCGGGATGCTTTTCTTTGGCATGTCGCACTTCTGGCAAGATACCTTGAAATTTAACAGCTACATTTGTATGTTCATGTAAAAGTTTGCATGTTCACCATCATGTTCCTTGCTATGATCTAAAGCGCTGTTGCTTTAATCCTTTTACAGTTTTCCATGTAAATCTTTCACTCTTTATAGATTCTCTCAACCTCTTGTTTGAACCTATTAATAAATCAGTTTTCTGCCTTGGTAGCTCAATTATGCCGTTTCTGGACCTTCAGACTTTGTTTTACTTTCTTCTTACTTCGGTTATCTGCAGTAATTTTCTGTACCAAGTTGCAATGTAATGTGGAAACATCTTGTTCTATGGGGATTCTTAAGGCTTTGCAAAGATCCACTTATTTGATGTTTGATTTCTGATCTTTTGCTTTCCTCATTTCTATTCGTTTTTTTCATGTGTTCCTATTTTTCGGTCGAACTTCATAATCCTTGCCCGGTAATGCCTTCTATCGTCTTTGTATTCATGGTGGACATCTATTACTAGAGATTGTGACTTTTTGCTCAGGTCGGCAAAAAATATTTATTGTTCGCCTGAAATTCAGAACGGACACAAAGAACCATTCTTTGCGCCCATCCGCACGGTTCATCTTACACATGTTGAAACGTCATTCATTTGCCGCCACCACCACGTGCTTGAATTACCCTGGCAAAAATATTCAGTTGGCATCAAGGTTGTTATTCAGCTGGAAACGACCGATGTTTGTTCAGACGTGTTCGCAAGAACTAGACATTTTATCACGGTTGAGGACAACGCTTACGATATGGTTCAAGTAAACAGTACAGTCCCTTAGAAAATAATCAGTGTGGTTTATCAGAAATTTGTAGTTTCAAAGGTGACTGTTTTTTCTCACTGGTGATGTGTGTATCAAAGCATCAACATTTTATATGTTAAGAGAACATCTCTTCTGTTATGTAACATTCTTAATGAAAATTTACTAAATGGGTTTCTAAGCATTCTGATCCCAGTGACAGTGGCTGTGGCAGGATCAGGACGGTGTTATGAAGTGGTTCGGATATATTCACGTTTAGTGTGGAAGCTTTGATACATTTGCAAGTTCTTGTTTTGCATTTAATTCACAATATTTTTTATAAGTAAAATTGACGAAAGCATCTGATAGTCATCATGAAAAGTCTTTTCGTTATTAAAGTGAATATTTTGAGCTATTCGAAGTTTTGTAAAGTAACTTGACCATGATGCTGCTGCATCTAATTTTACAATGCTTTTGTTATAAACCAACGATCAGGCATTGTAACACCAACAATGCTGCAAAATGCAATGAGCAAAATGCAATGAGCAAAAAACAATGAGCAAAATGCAAAATGCAATGAGCAAAAATGATCACAACATTGCTCTGCACTGAAAAATTGCTCAGAGGTTTTAACCACATTATCGTTAATCCAAAATGTGGACAGATTTATGGCAAACGTTTCCATCGTGTGCAAGCCAGAATAAGGCGGAGTCTTCGTTAGAGCATTGCACTTAAGGATAGTTAATAATAACCGTCAAGTTTGTTACTTTCTACTATTTCAAGCCCATAGCAGGAACACATTTATATACAAACACCAATGCGATTTTCTCAATGAAAAGCGTTTGTTAATTTTTGAACAGAGCGAAAATTTGAGGTAAACGGACTTGTTGTAACGTATCAGGATAAAGGCAGGCCAATTTTATCACGACACTGTTAACCGATGTTTCCTTCTTAATAATTTTAGCGATGATATACATTTTCTTGCCACTTTATTTTACCTAATTTTATATTTTGGTTACGTGTTTAGGCGCTGGCAAGATTTCCCAAAACGACACTCTGCACGCCCTTGGTAAGTGCTGTTTTGAAATTAAAGGTTCGATCGACATTAACACATTCCAGTAATAGGAAAGGTTTCGTTTTTTGCAGTTGGATGAAATATCTGCGCACATTTAAGACCCATGAATGTGGTTGGTCGGAGTCATTAATCTAAGCCAGATAACTTCCGATAGCGTTATGGTCGCTGCTTGACGTGAAATCGAATAGTTGAACACCAAAGATTTTGGGCAGTTAAACGAGTGTCGTTTTCATTATAGAAATTTATAATGTATATTTAGAGAGATATATACCCGCTGAAATTCGGTCTACAATTTTAAGTATTACCCATGCTCAGCATGGTCTACTCCTGTCTGACAAAACAGTCTACTGGACAGTCATTGACAATTTGATGCCACGCACTAACAGGCTATTTCCTCTAGTTTCAAGCGGCACCCTCGCCAACATCGACAGGGTGTTCTGTCGCGATCAATTTTTAAAAATTTATAACGCAGGCGTAAACTCTCTTGGCATATTCCCAGCATGATTTTTAGATAGGCTAAGGATAAAATTTGGTGAGTTCTGCTGTATTTAACCCTGAAAGCCTTGAATCTCTTCTATACC